GCATGAATACACATAGTTTAGGATTTATAATAATTCTCTCAAATTAATCAGTAACGGAGAGGTTTATTTCAGCTGTAATGAACAAAGGTTTAGTTCGGGTAAACCAGTTTATTGTATGACGTAAAATCACAAATCGCATATGTAAAATATGTAAACTATACATTAAATACATTATTTACACATCTTCCTTGAGTTGTCTTACAAACTTCGTTGTTCTCCTATTTCTGTTTTCCTTTCTCTTTTCTTCATTTCCTTCTTCTGTCCATCGGGATTCTACTTCCAAATACCGATACATATTGCTTATATCTGTCCGTATACGTAGCATCCATCACATTACTATTACAACTACGACATTACTATATATATACCGTAAGATAATATAAGAACCCTTGTTACAACTGGTTCGAAATAATAAACTTAGTGAGTACAATATCAATTGACTAGGCCGGTTTTTGCAATATAGTTAGAAGTGAACCTAGTGCACAAATATCACATTATCTTGAGTAATCAGTAACGTATGAATATCTCAATTTCTCATTGTACAGTTGATTTTAAGTATTCTAATCTCCTAAAGGATTATTTTTCATATTTATTTCATATAAAATCTCCACCATTGTTAATTACTGATCCACACTTTGTCATTACTTGCATTAGAAATATCTCCTTGTACCATCTTCTGACTGATGTAGCTGTTCAGCGTTGATGACTGTGATGACCCGAGGAATTTTTCTTGACCTAAATGTTATTGTCGCAATAATCGTGACATAATAATTCTCATTTTAATATATTCTATTCACATGATTTTACTCGATTGATTAAAAGTCATCATCAATTCTGTTGTATATGACCTTTCAACTTTAATAATGATGGAGTCAGAGTTTGTAAATATTTGAGAAGTAATCCAACATGAACTCAACTGTTTGTTTTCGTTAACTTATTGAATGACATAAATATATTTGACCGCAGAAATATCTCTGTTGTAGTTTTGTTTGATCCTTGTTTTATTATATTATGGCGTTGTAAGCTACTGATAACTTTGTAAGTAGGATATTTAAAATCGACAGAAGTTTCAAACATTATTGCTGTTGACTATATGTAAATACTGTCACTGGCGCACAGTTATTACTTTTCCTGTAGACCAACTTCAACATAAACTTCAAAGAAACATTCGTAGTTATATCGCAAAACAGCACAGTTGTAGTACTTAGCAAACATATTTAATCGTCTTTGTGTTAATAAACAAACATTAATTTACAGTCGATTGATCAGTGAGCACCGATCAAATTAATGTATGTCATGTTCCGCTTAGTGCTGATTGAATTTTACCAATCATATTGCCACATGGATATTATTCTAAGTGAATCAGCGGCGGTCCAGTGTTTCCTATCAACTTTATCTAAATATAACCTTATATATGAAAATAGTACACGCCGTCATTGATAAATGCATCTTAGTGCCCTCGGTCAGTTACAGCCCGAACCGCTCATCGATAACGTCTTAGACTATGGAGCTAGGCTAATACGAGATTGAATCCATTGGGAGTCGTCAGTTCCCTCAAGATCACTAGTACACGATATTGACGATTGTTAAGTAGCACGAGACCTAGGTTGTCCTGGGTTTTCTGTCGATTACCTTCAAAAAACAGCCGTACAAACATTATTTCCTTTTAATTTACGTTATAATCCAGGGACTTATAGTACATTTAACTTAAACTCTACGTGGGGTAGATAACTGTCACCCAACATCGTTGAATTCCGCTGGTCACAGCTACGCACTCCAGGAGTTGCATCTTGAAGCTATTCATTAGTGATCACATTATTATTAGTATAGGGAGATTTGTGAACATTGTAGGATTTTCGTGGTCAAAATCATGAACCAATCTTGGTTAGGTCACCACTGAAATCCTGGAGGTACTGGGAGAGTGTTCTATCCTAGTATAGGACTCCTTAACGGTCAGTCAGTCAGCTACAACGTAGGACCAGGCACATATATGCATCGTTCCGAGTTGCCATACCTCATTAGCACAACAAAATGAACACCAAATTCATAGAAGCAGTTAATTCAGTTGTGGTAATATATAAAAGAAAGATTGCATATAAAGATGTGATACATAAAGAAAGAATTAGTTGGTAGAAAGTAATTTTAATCTCACCATTTAAGGGAAGATAAAGAGTGTATACACCGACAACATTGTGATCGATTCTGAGCCATGTCACTCAGGGTCTCCAACCATTGGTTATGATCGTCACGCGGATACCAACCAATTAGTTTTCATCTACTAACATGGCTCAGACCAGAAGTTAGTGACTTCAAACACTGATGCTACGTTTTGGTTTGGCCGCCCCTAATGGTGTGCATTCATGACCCCACATCCAGGAATCACTAGTGATCAATTTCGTGATACGGCTCCTGGAGTTCTATTGAGATGTGATCAGTGGGATTCAAGCACGTCGAGTATAAGATAACTATTTACCTCAGAGAATATGAATTTAATTGTGTCTGCTTATTATTGTGAATTTATTGATGTTGGGTATTAACACTCTTAGATTCCATCCAGCTCAGTGGTCTAGAGGTTCGACGTTCTTGGGCGAGACTGAAAGTGCTGCATTCGATTCTCTGTGTTGTAGTCGTAGATTGGCCTTATTGAAGAGTCTCATACTGGAATGAAACAACAATCAAGTGGTTCCCTGTTTTCAATGGTATTTTGACTATGGTCATTTCATGATATCAATCTTGAAGATTATTTTCCACTAATTTCTAAATTTCAGCCTACCTACCCTGAATGAATCTAATAAACTAGTAGCTATCGTCCTATACAAACCTTTTTACATAACGCACACTAATTAAACTCACAATTTATCAGAAAGTTATAGAGTTACCACATTTCTCAATTCATTGATTGTGTTGACATTTATACAGTTCTTTATCACTATAAGCTTCAAAAATATATTTATTCTCAGAAGGGTTTTTTTGTGGATATTATAGTAATTTCAATGGTTAAGATCATGAGTCATTTGAAGCTAGACCACTGTGAAAAACCTGAAAGCATTGGACGGCCGTCTCGTTCCATGGTGGGACTCCTCAGTAGTACGGCCTAGCGAGATTCGATAATTTGTGTGGATTGTAGTTCCCCTGTTTATACCAAATTTTACAAAGAATTAAAAGCTTAAACATATCGACAATCACTTAAAATGTATAATCGTTTTACCAAAGTCTTGTTGATTTCCAATGAAAAGAAAATCAGGATTATTACTCATTAAAAATATATTCATGTTTTTGCATGCAGTGTATGGTGTATTTGCATAGAAAACAGTAGCTTAAATTGCGTGACACCAATCATCCTTTTTTCTTTGTTCAATAATATTGCAATATCTAGCATTTTTCCGTTCACATCTAGTGGATGAGTACAGGATATAAGAGCATGAACACTATTCAGAATTACAGTTCAGTCGTCTAAAGCTATTGACATGTCTTCTGTAAATAAGCCATCGTAACGCATATCGAATTCCCGTATGTAAAAAGCAAATTCAATGGAAGTAAGAGCTTGAAATGAAATACGAATTGGCGTTTCGAAAGATTTTTTCAATCTTTCCTCATATTCTCGAAAGATGTAACTGGTGAATTGTTTTGTAGTCTAAATTTAGACATTCTTGCTATGGTTACTCGATCGACGCAGAGATGGTAGTGTTTACCATTAAAAGCAGTATATAAACCATGTGAAAGCTCTTTACTTGGAAACTGTTTTGTCGATCCAGAGCTTGTGGCTTACTGTCATCAAAATTGATAATAATGAGTGATGTTTGTCAAGAATATCTACTATACCCTTTGTTAACTTTGTCATAGATATTCTTTTGGAGACAACGCCTTCGTCTGAACCTTCAGAAAATGATCTCCTACCAGGGGCCTCGCTTATAAACTTGGTATACGAAGATGAAAGTTCTGATTGACAAAATGTCTGAGTAAACGAAAAATTTTTTAATCCCTATAAGTAACAATACAAGCGTGCTTAGGGTGTTTCTATCCCTCTAGATATGTTGCTCCAGGATTAGTTTGACTCATCTCCTATATTAACCTTAGGGAATAAAGTGGTTGAGTGCATTGACCACTTCACTTATATTACAAAATTCACCATTCCTTACGGGTTGATGTCTTATTTAATCTCGGCACCACTTTGGGAAGCTGTCTTGGCTTTCATCAACTTGTTTCACTTGTGATGTGGGCTGAATGTCCGTCTTCTACTGAGTATACTGTACGATATTTCCTTCTGCTTTGATTTATGGTAGTGGTATGTGGCTTTTAAGCGTGGAGATCATTCACAGGTTACTGGTATTTGATTACAGATGCATTTGAAGCGTACGTTGGGACCACCGAATGTGTCGTGCTGAGGTTGGATGAAGGGTGCTAAGTGGACATGGGGAACTGATCAATGAAGTAGTGGATCTTCATTGGCTGATATGGTTAAGACATATGTTAGTTACTTATTATGTTCAACTATGTCGGTTGGAGTAGGGACATGTTGGAAAAAAACTAAGGGTGGCTGAGTCGAAATATGTCATCAATCCATTAAGTCGTTAACAGTTGAACTGAACCATTTCGATAAACGCCAACTACCTTGTTCTCAGGTAGAAATTGCATTGGGGACTGATATTTTCGATGTCTGAAAGCAGAATTGACTCTGTCATTTATCGGAAGCACTTTTTTAATCACTAAATAGAAATAACTCCAACAAAACCAGATGATAACTGTCACTATCTTTTTTGAATTTTGCGCATTAAACTAAAATTCACCCATTTCGATCCTGATTGACTGGGTAAAACTGTGCAAAAATCCGATTTCACTTATTCAATTAGTATTACAATTATCGCGGATTGAGTTGTCAATTATTTGTTATGTGATAGCTTGTAGGAATGCAAGCATATTTTGTAGTAAATCAACAATATCAAATGCATTTGAGTGAGAATACGATATGATGCATAAATTTACCTTGTATGTCCTTTCAGATGACTGACTACGGCCATTTACCCACTTACTGAAGACCATAGTGTTTAGTTCCTCCATACCGATTAAGAAAAACACGAGCAAGCGTGAGTGCATTATCGAGTCAAGTAGATTGTTTACATCCAATTGGTTCACTAAAGTCAACCAATGGACAAAGCAACCAATCAGAAGCCAGAAATTGTGACAAGCCAACGATTGCCCTCATTGGCTGTCGATCGTACACAGACCACATGTCTAACCTCTGGAAATAATCTTGTAAAAGCTCATATGTCAAATCAATCATACGACAGTAGCTACGATTGTTCAACTAATTTTCATCAATATCCTACATCTTTACCAAATCAGTCTAGTTTAAAAGAATCAATATTTCATGAAAGTAATGAGGATAATAATGGAGATACAAAGTCAACTATCAGTAGTGGTCAACAAAAACATGGTTTGATTAAGAAATTATTAAATCGAACACATTCAAATAATATTAATCATATTACTAGTAGTAATAGTAGTTCAGAGAAATTGAAAATCTTAGAATTACGATCTCATCGTCGACCGCAACAGGCCACAGACGCTTTACAGAAAGTTATGGGAAATGTTCATCATGTAAGTGATTTTTGTTCATTATATATAAACAGGCTACTAATGTCCAAGTGTAGTCAGTTCTCAGAATTTTGTCTTTCTTTTTACTGAATGAACTTGGTAGTGGTTTGTCTTGAAAAAAGTGCTCCACACTTTGAAGCTTCGTAGTATGTGACTTCATTCTGCGAACCAATTGAGAGTCCTTTAAATTTTAAAAAAACTTTCCATTTTCTGAATTTGATTTGTTACTCCATACGTTTTTGAATAAACACGGAAATGCAACAAAGATTTCTACTGATTACCTCTAAACATCTTAAATGAAATCCAACATACCATGGGATTGTATCGTTCAATCTAGTGCGTTTTGAGTTATTTGCTTTACATACAGCTATACGTATTTGAATTGGTGCAATATTATGGTAGGAGTATCCTTCGAATTGGAGCTAAATGTTAGGGCAAGAATAGAATTTTGAGATCAGAGGTTTCTTGATGTCCACTTTTTTAGTCAACATGATAGGGCACTGTAATTCTAAGTACTCATTGTTTATTGCAACATATTGATATTTATGTAGAATACAAATTATTATTATTATTATTGTAGCGTGTAATTAGGAACTGTGCACTTACCCAGAATAATCTACAGTTGATATCTTTCAAGCTAGCCAGAATCACTAGGTGGCACTTCTCGTGTCTGTGAATGTGTCCGTTCAGTTTAATTGTTCTACGTAAAAAAAAATAAAGATCTAGCTTAAATCAAGGTGTTTTGTAAAGATCTATTTACATTAGAAGTTCCATGTTCTTTTTTGTCGTGGCAAATTTTGGCAGTTTATTCCTGACGACTCGGCTGTATACTTCTTTTGGGACTAGTTTTTGTCAGGCAACTCTCAAGTAGTGTGGTTCGAAATCAATCATCTCATCGACTCGTCTACTTATACATAAGGAGTTGAGACTTACCTATATTCCATTTCGTCTGTCTAGTGTATCTGCATTTTCTTTAAGGGATAGGGTACTACTGTCCATTTTTCTCTGTTGTGTTTGTTGTTCAGTGTTCTCCAATAATCGGTCATGATATGTCAATAGCTTTGCAGAAGTAGTTCTGCACATGTTTAGATATTGGTGAAGCAACTATTTCATGGTTTGAAACACCTCTGTGAAAGTTTCTTGGTTTTAGTCATCCAAAACTCAGCTTTACGTTTACAACAGATATCACTCATCGATTACATGTATATATAATGGGGAATTATCACCCCAAGGGATCAAAATGACACCATCTATTTCGGCTTTCTTAACCATTTTGTATGGTTATTTCCCACACTGTCGTTTACGGGATCCTATATAGAATTAATTATTGAGTTGAGGTAAATTGGAGTTTGTGTGATAGAACTCGATAAGGACCAAAGATTAGACAAACATGGAGTGGGTGTAGTAGTTCAGTAGTCACTTCTTTGGTTGTGGCACGGAATTCTGATCTTACGAAGAGAGCATCAATTGTTTTAGTATTGTAGATATCTAATGACACCAAACCAGGGTCAAACAGGGCTTCCAACGGATTACTTCCGATTACTTAATACCCAGCTATTGTTTCGTAGAATACGATCGTGTTCTGTTGCATTTAGTAGGTTGGATATCGCATTAACCTGTTAGTCTATTAAAATTGTTTTTTCTTCTTTTTTTTACATCTATTTATCTTGGCATACCTAGGCTAACCCAAGCTATGGAGCTGGTGTTGGCGGTGGGGTTCCTCATTCTCCCGATGGAAATGTCACCAATAAGGTAACTAAAAATGTAACCAATACAAAATCACATAATAAACAGTTAGTCATACATAGTCATCCAACTAACCAACAAACATCATCTTCAAATGATGATCATCTATCGTCATGTGGTAAGACTAATCCACAATCAATTAACAGTAGCCATACTATTACTACTACTCCTAGCAATAATAATAATGTTATTAATGGAGTTATAAATAATCCATCTAATCCTACAACAACAAATGAAACAATTGTCCAATTACAAGAAATGATTGCACATTTAAAAGCTGTTGTCAATGCAAAAGATCAACGAATACAAGAGCTTGAAAGGGATAAGGATAAACTGCGCTCTGTACTTCATCAACAGTTAACTAGTAGTTGGGTAAGTCTGTTAGTTCTCTTCGTCTTCTTCTGTCATTATTTGCAATGTCTCCGTCTATCGTCTGTCCAACAAATAAGCAAGCTAAATTTATGCAACTTGGGTCTTTTTTTAAAGCCAAATTTAAGGAATGTCTGTACATTATGTCCTTTAAAATATTCTATTTGTGGCAATACAATTGTTCTTATCACACTTTCCGTTGTCTAAAACATATCTGAATACTGTTAGCAGTAGATTTCAGAGCGCGTGTTTCTTCCTATTTGGGACATATTACTTGTATGTACCTGCCAGTACCCCTCTTCCAGAGTTGATATTCGAATTCCGGAGTGAACATCAACTCTAGGATGCAGACAAACTCAATTGACGAGTCCCAAATAGAACGAAACACTCATCCTGAATTCCACTACTAACCACATCCCAACTCTTCTATAAAAAGAAATGTGTCTTAGTGGGTATACTGAGGTAATTCACACATGGTACGCTGAAACTGAACAAAATATCAACATTGGGATTATCCACAATAATACAAATTTTAGCAAATTTCTGGAAGGGATTATTCTTGTTAACCGCCGTATTGTTTGTTTCATATTTCGTCGTCTTCATATTGTCCAAATGCATACTCTATCATATTACTAATTTGCATTTTTGAGAATAAGAAATAATTGTAAGCAATGAAGTCTTTGTGAATAGGTGGAGAGTAATTGTGAACAATTACTAGTGAATGTGCTGATATGTTATCATGACATGTAACAATGATCCATGAGTATCATACGAATTCCAGCCCATTAGCAGTGAATAAAAGTTAGAATGATTCAGGAAAGGGGGTGGCCTAAGTACAATACAATTGACGTATAACCTAACAACATTTATAGCCTCGGTTCATGTGGGGTTTTTTCTTAGAAAAAAAACAAACAGATAATGTCAGAAGAGGTTTTGTGAAGATTTTAGAAATTTCACTGACTGAAATCATGAGTCAATTGAATCGGGGTGCGGGATCGTGGATGCGCACTACTGAGGAGTCCTATACTAGGACGAAACGGCCGTCCATTGCTTCCAGGTTTTCCATGGTGGTCTCGCTTCAATTGGCTCATGATTTCAATCAGTAAAATTTCTAAAATCTCCACAAAACCCCTTTTGATAATAATCATCTGCTCACTAGTGACTGACTTCAAGAGATATTCCTGGAGTTCTAGTGAGAAGCAGTGACCAGTGGAGTTCAACCAGGTCTGTTGTGAGAAATCAACTCACTGAAGACAATGATGTACGGTGGCACAACTTCGTGGATTGGTTAAAGTTAGACATTAACACCGTTGGATGCTGGCCGGCTCAGTGGTCTACTTGGTTAAGCGCCTGGCACGAGACTGATAGTTCCTGAGTTCGAATCTCGTGGGGTGAGGGATCGTGGATGCGCACTATTGAGAAGTCTTGCAATAGGACGAAACGGCTATCCAGTGCTTCCAGGTTTTCCATGGTGGTCTAATTTCATTTGACTCATGATTTAAATCAGTGAAACAGATAATGTATCATAATGAGGTAATAACGTTTGTTGTTTGTTTGTTTGATATTCATCATAATCATGAATAATTAATTAAAAGTCACAAGGTAATAAATTCAACTAGAACTAATTGACATTTAGATAGACTACTACACTTCTGTCCCAATCTCATAGCTCTTTATGTCGTAAATAATATGTAAATCAATACTACCTTTCTTTGTGTATCATGCATGAATGTACTGTATGCATTTCATCATGCCTCTTTTACATATGTGTTGTGCATATACACACATACATCATTATACGCACTGTATTTTTACTACCTTTTTCAAATAGGGTTTCTAACTGTATATGACAGGGAAGTAGTACCTTTATTGCATTGACTTGTATATGTGTGTATGTGCATGTGTATGCGTATATGTATCAGTAATCATGTACTTTAATAAATAGAGGAAAGAAATAAAATTGGATGACACATATTGCACAAAAATAAAAAAAATGGATCCAACCAACTAAATAAATTTGGCAAAATTGAGTGTCCGTTTTTTTTTTTTGTTTTTTAAGGTTTGGTCATAACATAATTGAAGAATACACAATAATGAGTCATCTTGCAATTTTTTAATGATTAATACAACGATAGAAACAAGCATAGAGTAAGACCTAGAATCATATTGATGATTGGGATATCATTAGGTATTTTGCTGTTAGATCTGTTTATTGTCCGTTTGTTACTCTTGTTACTCCTCGTGGAGGATCATAGGCTGCCCACCAGTACTCTCCATCCAACTCTGTCCTGGGTAATCCTTTCCTAAACATCAGTTTAATTGTAAACAAATGCTAATCAGTGACTAATAACTGTCGTTGTAATGACAATATGAAATAGGTTGTATATTTTAAGAATAAGATTTTCTGTAAATAAAGTGTTTTAGATATACTTGGACATATGAATTTATTGAAGTCCTCAAAGAGTAGATTTGTTGAGTATTATTATTCACATTTTGTTAAATTGATTAGTTTGAATAAGTGCACGATATTGGATCTTCAACTCTGAAAGTCGATAGAGAGAAGTAAACCTCGGTCGATTGAATTCTAGAGGTTTATAAAAATGATTATCTAATATTATCGTTTAGATTGTTGAAATTGGGACTTAGTTTCGTCTACAAGACAGAAATTTGTTTGTGAAAACCACCTAATACTGCTTAAATGAAGATTTGGTACAGTAAATCTGAAATGACCAGTTAGTTTTTCGACTTAACGGTGGATACATTTAGTCCGCGCACTTTGTATTAGATTGCCCAATATATACGCATGTCTTCCAACGTCCGACTGTAACTCTATTCTTTTACTTCAGGGTCAATGTTAAAAACACCATCTTGTCATAGATATATTCTCAGAGGTGGCTCGTTTAAGATCCGACGCTTCAAGGAATCATCTACATTAGGGCACTTTCGTTGACTTGGACTGTGTAGATGTACGTGAAGATACAATTAAAATACAGTCTCCTAAACGCTATCTAAGAATACTTCAGTTGCATTTCTTCCTTTCTGAATGGAAAATGTCGTTTGAAATCTGTTCTACGTCATGGATGGGGTGATCATAAGGGGGTGCGTTTTTCACTACCCTTGGTGGGCCGGTGTCTGAAGAAAATCTGACTTAAATTGAGAGAAAGCTCATCTGGTTTTTGCCAATTTGCATAAATGCTACCTTGACATGGTGGTCTAGTATGCATACAGTAGTGACCCATTTGAGCTATCTTGATTGGAACACTTATTTCTACAGGTCTCATCATATCAGGCAGGTCGCTTGGAGAGTGATAACACTGAAAATACCAAACTCATGACCCGAAGACAAATTTGTACTGCCAGCCGTACTTAGTCGTGGTCGTAGTAAAGTGTTTCCTCCAGACAACCAATATCAGCGACGCTGCCTTCTTACGACAAAAAGGAGAGGGTTGGAAAAGGTCAACCTTGAAAATAATACACCACACTTTGCCCCACGGATTTCCGTCATTAGCGGCAAGGGCTTGAAAATGAATAGCTGAATCAATTAAAAATACTAATAAAAAGACAGTGTATGACTGGTCTCCAATAGATGTCCCTGGGGAACTGAACTCACACTACCTGAGGCTCAAAATCATTTCTAACCCAGTCTACTTTTCAGGTTTTTTACTTATTTTATTTTAACAAATAGATATTGGTACAAGGAGGCACCAAATACATATGCGTCACACAAATCTCATTTAACATGTGTGTGAGGGCTGTGATACTGCCCGGGCGCCCAAACCGAAGCAGATGGTTTTCTTAGAGGGCCACACCCGGAGACTTCGACTTGAAGGTCTGATCCACAAGGCAGTGGAGCATCGTAAGGAGATGCAGTCCCATGGAAGCCGGTGACCAACAATTGGTTCATACACCATTCGTTCCCTCAGGATACTGGGCCTCATGTGCACTGTTGATTTGGAATGAGGGTTTTCCAACTCCCCTAGGTGGATCTTCCGTATCCACCAACCGGGTTAAAGGACCGGACATTGGCTTTCTATTCTGTCAAGTTCGTAAACAACAGTAATGCCACGAGAAGGCAGTGAATAGGACTTCCCAGGCAGATGCTATATATGCGTGGGCATGTGAGGAGATTTCGAGAGGTAGGGCTGACTCTCCCCTCTCTGCCGTACCAGGGCATTTGGGGGCACTTTTCAGGTACCTTAGTCAAGAGTATTTCACCCGCTAAATGAAGGGGAAAATGTTTGGAAATACCATATAGGTCATCTATTTTCCAAATGTACAAAAAGTTTCAATTGACATTTCTGGTATATATTTGTTTGAACTGAATGATAATGAATGTTAAATGTGCATATATTTGCGTCCCGTTGTAAAAGATTTACAAATTATTGCAATACTAAATACTGGCAAACGTTAAACAAAAGTACTACATTTGTTGACATTTTACTCCTTGTATATCTCGTTTAAAAAATACCTGGAACATGTATTGAATTTTACACATTTTACCCCCTCTAAGAAATTGTTGTAACGGCTAAACTGGTAGAAAATTTTCATGACTAAATGAATGGTAGGTACTAACAACTGAAAGAATAGTTACCAAATATAATTTCTGCATGGATGGTGTACAGAGATTTGTTATGATAGTACACAATTAGTATTGGGAATTCCATGTTGTAATAAAGTTTACAGTATTGAGTAGAATTATGATTGTTATTGTTCCAAGTCCCAAGATTCGTAAAAACCATGTATGGTGTTCTCTGGTTTTGTACAGTTTATCGGCGAAGAATTATATCTTTCATAAGCCATTTAAATAAATAGTCGAATGTTTTCCCCATAGAATATAACATTTTATTTATAAGCAAAGATGGACGGTGGCTAGCAGTGGAATCCAGGACACGCGTTTCGTCTTGTTTGGGACTCATCAGCTGGGTATACCTGTATCCCATAGTTGATATTTACTCCGAGACTCGAACTCAGTACCGTTCGCTCCAAACGCCATCACGTTATCC